CACACCACTCCGAAAGGAGCCAGAGTCATTGTCAGGAGCAGAAACGGAGATGACGACTCAGGTCACTCTGTCGACGGTACACACACACACACACACACACACACACACACACACACTGGTGTAGCCATTAGTGGGGTGCTAACAGGGGCGTGGGAAGGTAATATAGGATGGTACCATCAGCCATCTGAGGTAGACTTTACTTGTTGGGAGAGGGTGGCTTGGTTGAAAGATTTCAAAATTTAGAGCCCAACTCCGTGCTTTTGGTTGTGTTACGGGTACCTGCCCCCTAGGGCGTGGGACACGCTACTACAGTCAATACCCCATAGTGACCGTAGCCTGTCCCATGACCCTGGCTAACCACCAGTGCGGGGGTATTCACCCACATGCATACACAATGGTGCGGCTAAACGCGAGTCGAGTGCTAACCGTCAGCGGGATGCAAGTCCACACACAGACTGGTGCCAACCATCAGTGGAGTGCCAACCATCAGTGGAGTGCTAACCGTCAGCGGGATGCAAGCCCCCACACACACACTGGTGCTGACCATCAGTGGAGTGCCAACCATCAGTGGAGTGCCAACCATCAGTGGAGTGTTAACCATCAGTGGAGTGCTAAGCGTCAGCGGGTTGCAAGCCCACACACATACACAATGGTGCTAATCATCATTGGAGTGCTGACCCACCAGGCCAGGCGAAACCGGTCCGGTTGGTCAGGCCATGACCACCGCACCAACGTTTTGGGGCCACCAACGTGACATTGTGTTACTGCTGAGGAGGTCATGTGTATAGTACCCTCCGTATCATACACAAACTGTATGAAAGGCTAGGGTATGGCCGGATTAATCGAAAACTGTTTCCGGCGGTCCTACCCACACGCATACTGGTGAAGTCATCAGTGGGGTGCTACCCCCCCCCCCCCCACACACACACACAGACTGGTGCAGCCATGTAGGGTGGATTGCTAGCCCCCCCCCCCCCCCCACACACACACACACATACTGGTGAAGTCATCAGTGGGGTGCTAACCCCCCCCCCCCCCCCCCACACACACAGACTGGTGCAGCCATGTAGGGTGGATTGCTTAACCATCAGCAATCAGCCAGACAAGATCTGGTTTTACCACAATAGACGCCAGTGTGAATGTGTTCGTGTATAGGTGTATGAGGGTATGGCGACTGGCTTTGCGGCAATCCCGGGAACAGCAACTCAGCCAAATAGTGTGAGGTTTCGGTGGCCAGAGGCCAAGCATGCAGCTGTATAGTTGGGAGCCACATTTTAACACGGCACACTGCGCCCCTGCTGTCATGGAAGGAAAAACAACTTGCAAACACCCCCGACAAATTTCATGTCGTTGTCGGATACAGTTCCGCGCATTTCTTCCTCAGCGTCTCCACTTGCATGCGCATTCTGGCAGTTCTAAAGTCAACAGCATAGAGCACACGCACATACACCCGTACACACACACACACACACATACACACGTACACACACACACACACACACACACATACACACACACATACACCTCAGACCTCAGACATGCCCATCGCGGGAGCGATGATAGCGAACAGCTATGTTTTTTAGACATAGCAACTTGTGCTGGGATTACACCATTCAACAGCTTGCAAGGCTGATGAATTGACCGCCACTATTTTTTAGCCTGGTATCCACCACACAGCTGTTTGAAGTGACTTTTTCTGGCCAGCGAATCCCTATTTTTCATTTTTCCATTTTTTTCTTTCTTTTTTTCTTTTTTCTTCGGTGCAGTGGTATGTGCAGCGATTTCCAATCGACACATACACACGCACACACACACACACACACACACACACACACACACACACACACACACACACACACACACACGGATCAGTACCCAGATACGGAAATGCTTGCCTAGATACTAATCCACCTGGAAAGAAGACGTGAGATAAAGATTGAGTCTCCTCCAGCAGCACACTCACATAATATTTCCACCAAAAACATGTACGGAATTGAAATACTTTACCAGCTGTACGTCGACACCCCCCCCCCCCCTCAAATGCTTGGGGTCTCAGTTTCTTGGATTTAGGATATAGCCGTCCTTATCTATACGGCGAAACGATCGTCATGTGAAACTGCTGCTTGTTACTGCTGCCTATTGTCCATCTAAATTGTCATAGTCGAAGAACAGTGCTGTTTTACTGAGGCATTCGGTTTTGCATGATTCTTGTTCGCCTAGCTTCCCCTTTAATTGATCTTCGCATCTTTGAACCACGCAAGTTGTGTGGAAAGTTGCTTTGCGTCCTTGAATCGTGGTTTGACCTTATTGTTCAATGGTTTTGCCAGGACATGATTGTATCGTCATCCACATGCATGAACATTGTACATGTACATCCGCCCACGTCCTTCACAGCTGAGACTTTCAGCTCGTGCTGGTCTTGGTTGCGCTCACCTTCCCCTCCTATGTTATCATAACAACCTCGGCACAGGTAATTGTTGCCTACTTCTTAAAATGTGACCTAAAATTCAATAATGCCATGCCACACAGTGTGCAAAATGCATTTTGGATTTGGAAAACTGGTTTACCGAAATTTCGCGCTACCGAACAGTTGATTTTGGGAAATACCGAAAGTATTACGCCACCGGAAATTCCCGGTTCTACAGTACGTACTGATCTTGAAGTTCTTGATTGGGACCGGGTTCTGCTGCTGCTGTCGTGGCATCTGCATCTACATCACCATCTGAGAATGGTGAGGGAAAACCGTCACACACGTACACACACACACACATCCACACGTGCACACACACATCCACACATGCATATACATGTCCACACATGTGCAAACACACACACACACACACACACTAGATTATCACAATGACTCCACAAGCGCGAGGGGAGGGTGGGTGGGTCATGAGATTTATAAGAACACGCGAAACCACCACCACAACCATTACAAATCACAAAGAATGACAGCCTTTTGCACGCCTCTACACTACAGCTAGGTCATGTGATACGGTGACTTGGATCGCAACACTTAGCATTCACTGTATGCCAGGACCGTAGTGTAATACTAATAGTGTATGTCACCTACAGACTAAGAGTACAGTACTAGAGTGGCTTCAACTAACACAGTAACAGACTCAGTAGACAATCTCTTTAGACAGCGATTGGGCCTCTGCACTGCAGCTGTCTCTGATCTGTACATCATGCACAATTGTATACGCTGGATTACAGCGAAATCAGCTGCACTGGGCCGGGATGTCTCACTAAAGACTAAAGAGTAAAGTCTAAAGAGTAACGTGCTGCGAGTTGTGAGACTGGCCAGCTTTCCAGCCTGCATGCAGTGTATGCAGGCTAATGAGTCTTACCAGCGTTTGGGAGCGATCGTCTGGGCTTGGCACCGCCGCCTGCGCCTGGGTTTATACTGCTCATCGTCGTCTATTGCAGTACATGCACTAGACTTCACGACAACCGTGACACTGATCAAGGATGGCCAAACGTCGCTGGGCTTTCACACGGACCCTTCTACCCAGCCGGCACGGCAATGAACAACGCCTGGCCTGGGCGTGTGCGAGATTGCAAAATAATCAGCGTTGGCAGCACCACTTGAAGTTAGTTCACAAATTTCAGAACAAATTCCTCCAGTTAGTTAGCGAAAGGTCCAAGATGGAGGCTGCTAACGTTAGATCGACATAAGCTATTTTTAAAACAGTAATTGCTATCACTGGAGTAGTGCTAAGGCAAGGGGGGATGGAGACTCTCTCACATGACTCTCAGATTCAGATCTCTCGCCGCGTGTGTGTGCGGGTGCAGCGATAGGTATTACCATGATTACGGAAGGTCTCAGATTCTTACCAATCTTGGTCTAAACCTTTGCTCAGCACACGCGTCAGCATAAACTAATTACTTGTAAGTAATACTAGCCAATCTTCTAAAAGAAAACGATTTAGTAACGTGTCAATGTTTGATACCTGGATACTGATCTTTTCAAACCTTCAAGTCATTCGAACAAACATTTTTTGGACTTGGGCCATGATCATGATGATTACTCATGGACATCGAGAGCTAGCTAGCATAGCGCGAGCATCGCGACAGCTGGCAGCTGTCGCGAAGCTCGCTTTGCTGCTGCATGCGGCTAGCTGCACGTACGTAACAGCAACCTAGCCAGTTATCTGCAGCCTGGTAGTACAGTGGTAACTGTGACTGTGAGTTTCGATAGTAAGCGTTGTTGCCACGCGCTGTTGCCACGCAACTACAATGTCTACATGTAGCTAGCTGCCACTGCCAGGCAGTCAGAGTAGCACGACTGACGCAGTGACGGACTGCAGTCTGTACAGACTGTATACCGGTAGATCATGCATGGTAGATTTGTAATTGTAGTGACTGTGTAGATCTGCACTCAGCTTGGACTCCGGTCCCGCGGGCCGCGGCTGGAGGCGGAGCCCAGGGCCAGGCCAGGAGAGCTAGAGCTACAGCACTCAGCAGAGACTAGAGTGCCAATCATCAGCTCAGGGATAATACACTATACTGACTATAGTTTTACGTCTCCCTGGTGCCAATCAACGCTGTCAGTGCCAATGCCGGGAATGGTGCACACGATCGAGCAACCCAGACCTAGCGAATGATTTTGGTCTTCTGGAGTGGTATTACCTATACAAACCATGCAAACGGACGCCTGTGGCGCATTTGTTACTAACTCGGAGCGAGCAAGTAGTTTTGGTGTAGGGCGAGAGAGTGCTCACCTGGGAGGCTCGGTTTTGGGGACTCTAGAGTAAATTTTACTTGGAAATGCTGCTCCGTTTCATTTCTTCTTCCTCAGTGAGGCCAGCTCTAGGCTTAGCAAACTACTGTACAGTTAGTGCAGTGTTCGAAGTTCGCAGTCCGACTGTCTGCAGGATTTTACTAGGACTCCACTTACACTGTTTGTTTGGGACCATAGTGGCACGAAGCGGACAACCAAGAACGAGTGAGAGAGGTTCAACAAGAACGAGTAAGAGAGGCTCAACAAGAATGAATGAGAGAGGCTCAACAAGAATGAGTGAAAGAGGCTCAACAAGAATGAATGAGAGAGGTTCAACAAGAACGAATGTGAAAGGCTCACCAGGAACCAGTGAGAATGGAAATTTGAAAATGGGGTGCAATATCCTGCATTCTGGACACTTTTACCGGGCATTGTGCTTAAAATAAGTGGCCGGGCCAAAGCTGGACGGGCTGCTACGCCCCTGAGTAGGCCTTTGCAGATTCTGCCGGCAGAAAAATTGGCAGAATTCGGTACTTTTTCTGCTAAATTTCATGCATGTTTGGTATGTGGATAAAGAAATGGAGCCGAATTCGAGGAATTGCCCGCCACAAGGTTAGTATGGTTCTGCCAATTTCACTGCTTTTCGAGCAGAATCTGCCACCTTTTCGAGCATTATCCGCCAATGCCTACGGGGCCCTGAGAAAGGTCACTGTTTCTGAACCTGGTGTCCCCCCCCTTTTTACATACTGTCACCCAACAACATGTTTCAACAAAACAAGTTTTATTTACATGTACATGACCTGTACAATAGTAGATCTACACTCATACAACTATTAGCTACAAGTTGGAAGGCCGTTGATTTGCGCACTGGAGTTGTGTTAGACTTAGAGCTAGTTCTCAGGTCGTTGAATGTCTCAGTAGCTTGTCAGTTTTGTGCCCTGCTATCGCACTTTCTGACTGCTTACCATCTTGTTACAGTCGTGGATAGTTGATTCATAACTCGTTCCCTTGTGTTTTCTGATAACAATCATACCGCAGAATCCCGGGGATAAGCCTAGGCCTCGACCAAATATGCTTGCACATATTTCCGCATATTTTTGTGAGACATTTCATATGTGGCATATTGAGCGACAAAGGGAATATTGGAATGAAGTCAGCATGTATTTCAAAAATTCTGAAGAAAATGAGGACAAAACATTCATATTATGGACAAAATGCGTTCAGAAATAGGCCTTGACAGATTATGCTAGCATAATTTTTCGCATAATTCCTACCAAAATCGAATAATCGCATAATTCGACGCAAATTGCATACGAATCGCATAAAACTGGAATAATCCGCCTGTTCGCATCAAATTCCATACAGTTGTACATGTTCTACAAGTACAAGTAGATGCACCAGGAAGTCGTAGGTTTACGACTCCCTTGATAACAATAAGTTACATGTCCAGTCCACGACAATCAGTTGCCAGTTGCGGTCGTAGCGAGGTCGGACGCTGCTTTGACCCCGTTGAACTTTTGCTACTACAGTACAACGCCCTCTACAAAAAAATTCCCCTGTTATTTTCCACAGAACCATTATACATTAGCAGCATATGTGAGCATAATGCGGCATAACGTTTAGCATAAAAATAGCATAATTCTGCAATTTGTTCAGCAATGCGAAAAGCATAATTTCACGAAAATACTAGCATAATCTGTCAAGGCCTATTCAGAAATGCCTTCAAGTTTATGGATGAATTTGGAATGGTTGAGGCGTTTGCTACATTTCCCCATGGATGAACACTATCGCTACGGTTGCTGGGGACACACCCCAGCCATACTATTCTGCATGTGTTTTGATGTGCACCATAAGCATGATAGCCGTGAAGCCAATGAATATTCCAAGGTTGTAATTTTACGGAAATGATCTACACTTTCTGCTTATGTCGAGCATATTTTGGCATATCTTTTTGCATATCTTGCTAAGCCTTTGGCATATTATGGACGTTTTCCCTGATATGCGACGAGCATAATAATTATGCTCTTTTTTTAGCATAGTTGGTCGAGGCCTAGATAAACCCATGGGCTTATCTGTTTCACAAGGACGTTTCGGTGGGCTTATACGCGGGCATGGCCTTATATGCCGGCACCAAAATTGTGATATTGAAAAGTACCAAGGAAGTGAGAAGTGCATTGCTGAAAATCACTGTGCAAACACAAACAACCGATGATTGTGTAGAAAGGTACGAAAAAAACTCTGCACTATTTGAAACTCGGATGTTGAGCCAATAATAAATTAGGTACCTCCGCCCGTACAGTATACCCTTTTCCCCTAGCTGGCCTGCATGCACCCGTACTACGTCATTCTCACCTTTCGTTCCGTTGGCCTGGGTAGCTACTTGCGCACCCATGTTTGCCATAGCTACCCAGGCCCTATAATATTGCGTTGCCTCTCTTCAAATCTCTCTCTCAATTCTCTTCAAATAATCGCTCTCTTGAGTCGAGCTCTCTCTAGTCATAATGTAGTTGTTGCCTTGCGTTGTGTCAGAATGTCCAACAATGGCGTTCAACAGTACCAAGAGTACATATGTTATCCCCCTGGGGCGTTATCTACTCTTGGTCGTACATGTACATGGTAGATGTACGAGCAAGAGTACATAGGCCCATAGGTTTGTACAACGAAGCTTTGTTATGTTTGAACTTATCCTGGGCTTATCCACGAGCATGGGCTCATACGCGGGCAGGCTTATCCGCGGAATTCTACGGTAGTCATTCATGAATTCATGCTTATGGCACACAACAAGCAGCACGTGGATCAACTGGTTTTACAAGTTTCTTGCTGGCGGTTGTGACAAGAATGAGCTCAGCATGATTATACAGACAACAAAGTAAGGGAAAGCAGCCAAGGTGGAAAATACAATTGTCTTGCGCGAAGCAGGCAGCAAGATAATACGCAGAGAGATCAGTATATGTACATTGTGAGGCAATACACAGTGGCAGTAATACACAGATACGATGCAATCATGATGAAGTGAATGCAGGCTATAACAAGATGAATCGAAAATCAACAAAACAGTTTCATGGTGCTGCAAGTCGCGTGGACTCACAAAACGCCTTTTTGCACACAAACACACATGTATATCTTATATACAAAAGATAAATAAACACTCACATCATAATTATTATACACATTCACAAAACACACACCACACAAACATACTTGAAGTACATTGGTCATAGAATTCTAATACCAGTTAAGTGTGAAATCTCACTAGAGAGGGAAAAGTATTCGATTTCTAGGAACATATTTACTACAACATTCTACGTCCAAGTACGGGTTAGAGGTTTAGTGGAAGAATGAAAATACTACAATGCAGCTGCAATGCTAAGAAAAAATATTCTATTCACTAGATGCAAACTTTGTGAAAGAAACATGCGACGAGTAAAGGCACGGCACCATGACCAAGTAAGAAACACAAATTGTCTCAACGATAGTTCACAATTATCCAACAAATTTACGAAACGAAAATATACATTATCAGGGTCTAAAGTTCAAAGGTCAAAGGTCAACACAGTAACTCCTGGAACTGACTAAAAACGAAGGAACAAACGTCCAGCCAAAACACAAATGTGCACACACACACACACACAAATACAGTATACGTTCAAGTACACACACAGACACGCATGTACGAGCACGCACCCACGGAAGCACTACCACGCATGCACACACATACGCACGTGCACTCCAAAGAACACACACAGACCGACTGTATGCTAGGAGGACGCGATAGACCAGCACAAGCTTTCTTCATAAGGACACAAATCCGTCTGTGCTAATTCTCTCACCTCCTCATTCCTCACTCTCACTATCTCCTTCAGCGTCGTACTCGTCTTCTTCTTCGTCGTCATTCTCCACTTCGTCGAGCCAGCGAAACTGGTTATACTGCACATTCAGATCATCTCTCACCATGGCACTTAGAGCCTCACGCAGTCGTGGAGACACTAGAGCTCTTCCAGGCATCTCCAGTTCCTTCAGAGACGAGCAGCTCTCAGCAGCGGCGGCGAACAGCTTTGCTTCGTCGCCAGTGTCCCGGAAATCATTCCTCCCCATTTCGAGCTTGGATAGGTTTGGCAGGCTGGGCAGCAGGGACGCAAGCACCGGCAGAGCTCCCGACGTGAGGCAGTCGTCGTCCAGGTACAGCTCCTCTAGGCGTCGGCACTGACTCAGCTCACCACGAACA